ACACACACACACACATACACACACACACACACACACACACACACACACACAGAGAGAGAGAGAGAGAGAGAGAGAGAGAGAGAGAGAGAGAGAGAGAGTTGAGTATAAAGTTATGCTCCAGAAACTTTCGAGGTCACATATCAAAAGTTTTCATTAGGAAAACAAAAGTCAATAAACAACTGTGAACTTTTTCTTTATTAGTTTGTTTGTTGGGTTTGTTTGTCTGTTCATTCATTCATCTGTTCACGTATTTGCTTCCTTTATTTATTTACAGTGGAAGAGTTCAGTTAGGGTTAGGAATCAGTACAGAACAATCCATCAGAATGCTAGGTAGAAAGTTATCCTGGGGAAAGAGTAAGACCTCATGACCTTCCTTATTGAGAGGGAGCGTTCTGAGGGGAACAGGTCCAGAAGGCAAGAGTAAGATAAGAAACCTTAGTTTCAAGTGCTACCTGCTTCCCACTAGTCCTTTCCCCAAAGTCAGGCATTAAGATAAGCAAGGGTCTCCATTCATTCCCTTTTGAGGAACTTCAGTCCCTGACAGTAACACATGACTGGGGCCTATTGGCCAGGTCAATGTTAGCTACACTTCTCCTCCAGGCACCTGAAACCACACCCCAGTTCACTTCTGCTGGCAGCCATTGGAATTCATTCTCAGGTCCTGCAGCCTCTTCAGGACACAGACCATTTCTTTTAGAAATCCCTTCCCCACCACCCACATATGTCAGATCAATAAATACTCACCAGCAGAAGCTCTGAAGCAGCTTCTCAAAAATTGTTGTGATGTTTTTTCTCGAGACAGAGTTTCTCTGTGTAGCATTCCTAGCTGTCTGGTCTTGAACACATAGAGACCGGCCTGCCTTCATTGTGGAGTCTTGGAGTTATAGCCTTGTGCCTCCACCAAGCAGTTCATTTCCTTTTTTTAATGCCAGGTTATTTAGTTTAATTTTAGTTAATTTTCTGAAACTGTATACTTTCTTTTAAAACTGAACCCATTGATTTACATTAGCAAGAAACTTGCTGTTGAATTTGGCATAAATTTCCAGCCAATCTGGGATAGGTCTGTCTTCAAATTAGAATCCAGTGCTGGACCATGGTGCTGAGTCCCTTGTGCTAACCTGGTCCCATCACTCAGACCTCACCAGCCAATCAGAGCCTCCAACTGCCAGTTGGGCGGGTTCTTCCGGGAGCCGGACATCAGATCCATTTCTGCTTTCACAGGCACCCCGTCTGGGGCTCTCCTTTGGGCAGAGAGCCTGTCCGCTCGGCAGCTGCACCGTAGTGAGTGAGGGGTTGCTCTCCCCAGATGGAGGAGTGGCCGGACTTGGTGAGCAAGGGGCCGCTGTCCCCAAACTAGGTGGGGCGGCCTCTGAGGCTCACGGCCGGTGTGGTGGGTGGGAGCGAGCGGACAGACACAGAGTTTAGCATCTTCCTGCCTTAGTAGTCCTAACCTTGCAGCTCTCTGCGGGCAGCCTCTGAATCCCTTCACTGCCCGGGCTGTTGTCTGCACAGAGCAGAGCGTCGGGAGCCGCAGATGGTGGTGTCTGTCTGCTTATATTGTCGCATGTGGAGAAAGATCACCACATTTGCCAAAAGCGGAGACTCCTGGTCTCTCCTGGGTCTTCAGAAGTTCTGCACTTTTGACATTTACGTTTGGGATTCGTCTATTGTTAACTTCATGCGGCTTGTAAACAGTTTCTCCTGTGTAGAGTAGCGCTCCACTACTAAACTGTGATGGAGAAGAGTATAGTTGGTAGTAGAATTAATGGCATAAGGATTTACTGGTTCTTAGGAGACATTAAGTCACACAAAGTATAATTTAAGTGAGGGAGGGCTGCATCCCAAATATCCAGAGATGAGGAGCAAGCGCACCATGCCTGTTAGTGATTAGTATCATGAGTTGAAAATGTTCAACCGGATTAATAAGCCATTAAGGTACATTCCTATAACAAATGAGACAACCACGATATACAACCAGCCAGAAGACCCACTTCTCCATCAAAGGCCTCTGACCTGTTACTCAAGGGCCATTACAGGGTCACAACCTTGTGTGCCAGGAGAGTATAACAATTCTAGAACAACTGCACTTTTCAGCTCTGAGGAAAGCAGTTGTACTCAGTGTCCCCTGTGCTGACTGAGGTGGACTTAAATCCTGTCTGCAGTCCCACAGGGCATTGCCCTTGCTATCCTCCTGGCTAACCATCATACATTCTTAGATTACAAATATGCTGCTCCACCTAGCTCTAAAATTGCCAGGTTGAGTCATACAGTGGGACCGTCTTTGTAGTAACAATAAAAGGATTTGCATGTGGAGCATGGCTTCTCCCTTCAGACCAGAGAAGTAGGAATGGTGTACTGTGTAAGCTGGAGGGGGTAAACACACTGGACAATAGCTAGATCTTAGACTGAAGTTTAAGGCCATGGACTGCAGGGGTGTCCATTACAAAGAAGGACCCGAAGGGGCACAGTGAGTGACTTAATGTGTAATTCCCATCATACATTAATTCCCTCTTTGTGAATGAAGACAGACACTTGTGGGTGTACAGTTTAGGGAGGAGAGCTTGAACTCCTATGTATTAGTTTCCAATTAGTGAACTCTCCCATGCAGATATGTTCAATCCTGGTTGACACAGTGAATGAAGCCAGTTCAGATATGACACAGGCCATTGGCTGTAACTCCATGTATCAGCTTACAGCACTCAGCAGCTCACATTATACATGGGACAAAGTCATGCATTCCTTTATTAGTGGCATTTTCCCTACCAGGGAAGTGCTTACTCTGTTTCAAAGTCAGTATCACTGAGTGTTCAATTCTTTTTTTTTATCATTTTAAGAAGTCAATTATTGGTTATCATTTTTGAGATTTCATTTTCTCCAATGGCATGACTGCTATAATCTCTTTGTTTCTATTTTCCAATGTTTCCCAGTTTTCGAATTTCATTCTATTTTTATGTGCTGTTTAATTATTCATCTATTTATTTATATCAGTTTAGAACAGTGATTCTCAACCTGGTGGCCCATGACTCCTTTTGGGGGGTTAAATGAAATGAACCTATCACAGGACTGGCCTAAGACCATCAGAAAGTACAGATATTTATATTATCATTCATAACAGTAGCAAAAATATAGTTATGAAGTAGCAGTAAAAATAATTTTATTGGTGGGGAAATCACTACATCATGAGTAACTATTAAAGAGTCACCGCACTAGGAAGATTGAGAACAACTGCTTTAGATTAATGTCTCCTGTAGCTCAGGTTTGCATCATACTATGTAACTGAGAATTGCTGTGAACACCTAATCCTGCCTCTGCCACCTAGTGCTGCAAAGACAGTCCTGCAACTCCTACCAGGCTGGACCTTGACTGGTCTGTGTGAAGGAGAAATAGATCAGTGAATGAGTATCCTCCAATTTCTGTAGATTTTATTGTAAATTTACATGTGAAGTGGGACCTGTGTAAGAATTGAGTTCACTGACCAATTATAACGCCGGTGTCGTCACAACAGACAAAGGATGGGCAAGAAGGGTAAAACCTTTTCTGCTGTGACTATAGTTTACATTAGCTGTGAGAAGAGAGGAGATCAATTTTAGATGTTCCTTAAATGTCCCATCTGGCCATTTCATGGATCCACAGACCACAAACAGGACCCGGTGTCTTGGAGGAGGAACAGGAAGTACTCTGGGAGAATAGAAGATTTTATTAAACTACAACTTTCTCAGATTAGGGTCCTGTCTGACTATAGTGTGAAAGGACAAACCTGGAGGATGTTTGCTTTCTGAGACATTCGATCTGTGCTAGACCAGTGGGGTAACTGCTAATGTCTTGAAGCCCAGCTGGGTGGTCCTAGAGGGACTATGGTTGGCAATTAGGACCACCAGAGGTAGTTTACAGGTTCTTTCCAGGATTCTCTTGTTCTGCTTTCGGGAACTGTAAGGAGGAGCACAAGCCATGCCATGGTGAATGTAGGAGCGAATGTCCCCAGACCAGAAAGAGCAGGTTGGCTGAGCTGTCAGAGATGCTTGGACAGGGATGAAGCATGAGGTTCTGTTGTTCTTTGTGGTGTCCTCGGTAGTGGTCTTTGGCCTCTGATCTTTGTTGAGAGTGGGGGAAGACTATGAGCTTATAATATTGTTGTCTCACACTATGTAATTGAGAATTGATTTGAAAACCTAATTCTGTCTCTGCTGCTCAGTTCTGGGTAGATAGCCCTTCAACTTCTTCAGGACTGGGCCTTGACTTGTCAGTGAGAAGGAAAAATAAACAAGGTAGTGAGTGACCTCCAATCTCTCTTTCAGCGTATGATTATAGATGAA